AGCTGAATAATCTTTTAAACTAGCTGAATGAGAAATAGCTAGAAACTATCTTGAGACTTGCATTATTAATATAAAATTTACAAATAACTACTTAACAAATTTAATTATAATTTAATATCAACTTTGTGGGATTGGAGCATAACCAGGATGAGCACCCAAGTTTGGTTGTTGAAAATTTGGTTGAGGATTTGGTTGAGGATTTGATGATTCTTAAAAATATTTTAATAATTAATAAAGCATTTAAATTGAATTTAAATTTCTACCTCCTTCATAAAAGCCATATGTTAAATTGAATAAAATATAAATAAAGAAAAGAAAAAAGACAAATTTTGATAATTTCATACTTAAAAATTATGTAATAAAAATTAATTACTTAAAATTAATTATATAAAAATTAATTAATTCCTTGCAAACTAAGGTAAAATAAAAACTAATTCTTGAAAATTAAAATTTGGAGCCAAAATTGAATTAGACAACAAAACTTCTCTACTTAAGCCTTCAGCTTTTATGAATGCAGTGCCGCAAAAATGATGCAAGTTTTCCAAATATTGGCACACCACAAAAATAGGAGTAACTCTCTCCCTTTAGTAACTCTCTCCCTTTAATAGAAAAAATAATAAAAAATAAAAAATAGTTTAATTAAGAATTTTAAAGAGGCATGATATTTTGTTGTGAATATCTCCTCATTCTCCTTATTTCTCTTACAAGACTTTTATATAAGTTAGTGTTAAGAGGAGAGATAACGCGCGACAACGTGTATTAAATCGCTAACGACTTTACAAGCATTGAATTCTTATTTTAATTCACGTGTATTTCTTTCATCATCTCCCTATTTTCCTCTATCGCAGACACTGACAAATAAATATTTATATAGCAGATAGCTATTATTTGCCCTATCTCTTATAAAAAAATCTTTACCCCCTTTAAAAATAAAAAATACTCGCCATCATCCCCTCCTCCCCATCATCCTCTCCTCCCCACCATCCACTCCTCCCCATCATCCCCTCCTCCCCATCATCCCCTCCTCCCCATCATCCCCTTCTCCCCATCATCCCCTCCTCCCCATCATCCCCTCCTCCCCATCATCCCCTCCTCCCCATCATCCCCTCCTCCCCATCATCCCCTCCTCTCTATCATCCCCACCTCCTCATCACCCCCTCCTCCCTATCATCCCCTCCTCCCCATCATCCCCTCCTCCCTATCATCCCCTCCTCCCCATCATCCCCTCCTCCCCATCATCCCATTCTCCTCAACCCATCTAACGCGATTATAGAGAAGCATGTATTTCGACATATGCGAGCGTGTCTTAGAGAATCGCGTGTTAATATATGAGCGCATATCTTTGTCGGCTTAAAATCATCTTATATAAAGTTTTTGTATAAACAAGTGGACTACAAACTTATGTTGACTAACCAATTTGGAAAATTTTTTAACATTTTTAGAAAATCCACAAAGATTAACTCCTTTTAATGTTTGTTTAAATTTCGATATATCCTTCGCGATATGTCCTCAGTTTCAAATAAATTCCCCTTTAGGTATTAGAATAAAAAAATTTTCAATCAAATAAAAAATATTTATCTAAATTTATTTTCTACTTTAAAAAATATAATACCAAATATTTGTTTTAGGCGAAAGTATTTCAATGAAAATTTTTTGCTACTTTAGTTTACTCAATAATTTCTACTCTTTAGAATTTCCAAAGTTTTGATTTAAATATATCATCCTTCATTTCTACCGTTCCATTCAATGTCTATTGAGGACCACGTTCAAAATCCATAGCTTGAATAATTGTTTTAATTTCATAAAATTTTCTGATTAATAAAGATAACTAACTAATAATTAAAATTAATATTGTTAATTTTAATAATGTGTTTTACGTAAGATTATCCAGTTATTATCCCGCTTTAGTTCGAACCTAGCTGTCATTCATTATTTCATTATTTTTATTTAAATACCATCATGATGTTCTTCCAGTTGAACATTAAAATCAGGCAATTCAGCTTGATTTTGTTGCTGAATGTTATCTAAATTTTCCAAATTATTATACATTAACGTTTCATTTATAAAAATGATATCAATAAAAGCTCATAGAAGGTTATTAGGTCTATCCAAAACTCAAAAACACAGTTATCACCAATTTCGAGCTATCCCCCATGATCAATCTTCTGTTCTCACTCAAATATTTTCGACCCCTTACAGGTAAATAAAAATTTTATTTTGGGCTCATTTGAAAGCCCTTGAAACTTGCTAAAAGAAAACTATATATAAAGGAGAGAAATATTTATAGCCAAGCTTTATTATTATCTATTCTAAGGTTTTTTCATCAGATTCTGTTTTTTAATAATTTGAATTTCTATTACCTTGTTGAGGAGCCATATGAAATGATTCCAAAATGTGAAACCCTTAATAAAATTATTAGCTTAGATATATCAACATATGTAGAAACATTTAATGAGCCTTAAATAATTTATTTTTGGCTAATTGGATTTATAAAGAATTATTGTAAAAAGACACAAAAGGTCACATCTTTTTGTATTATTATAAAAATAAATATACTTATGTATATAGTTAAGTAAACCAACCTCCGTTTGTAGCGATATGGCCTCTACTATCTCGGACTGCACGGTCTCCATTTTGTCGAGAAACACCTCTGTTAGCAAGGCTTCCTTCTTGTCCATACCCGAAAGTTTGCTCTCCTCTAATATTTTCATCAGATTCTGTTTCTTCACCATCAGAATTGTAAAACTGATAATTGCTTGTATCCGCAATTTTAACACCTTTATAATGTCATAATTTGAATATTTTAAAAGATATATCCTATCAAACAAATATACGTTGATACTTATCAGTAATCATTTACCTTTCTTAAATCTGGCATGTTCTTTTCTGATTCCAATATTTTTATTTCTATTCGTATCTTCATTTGGCATATTTCCTTCCATTTGATTGTAATGCAAATTAAGACAACCATTAAGACAATCCCAACATAGTGACACATCATCAATCATTATATCGATTTTTTAAATGTTTGACATGTTTTAGTTGGGTCTTTAATTGTTAAAGAAAAGGAGTTGAATTTTAATAAATTTAAATATTTTTTGAAATTTGTCTATTAATTCGTTATTGATAAGAACGCAGTTCACGACTAAGTGTTGTTTCATCAAATATTAAGGAACTCTGAAGCGGTTCTGAGTAGAGATACATATCTTCTGGATCCATGCATTTTTATTTCAATTTAGAGAATAAACTACAAACCCTGAGATGGCAGACAGTAATAAACGCAATTATAAGAGATTCTCTTTTATTTTTATTAAAAGTGCATGTACAATTTTGATTTTTTCTGATAATTTGAAAAATTCTGATAATTTGAAAAATTCTGATAATTTGAAAAATATGAAAATAAAAAATAGAAATATAGCAAGTTTTGACAAGTTCATCCTTTAAGTAAAAAATAAAAGATATCTTTAATTTCAACCAGACGGTTTGAAAAAATTACCGCTGCAGGGTATAATTTTTCTTGATTTTAGACGTCAAGGAAAGCAAAAAACCTTTGCCAACATTTTATGGCTATTACACCCCGCCTTACACATAACCTTAAAGTTTAATAACCAAATGCTTTACAACATTCTGATTTAAATTCTGATTTTATTTTGAATAAAGTTAATTAAAACATTGAGAATTTAAATTTTTGAGCGCCCATCGTTAGTTAATCAATTATTTGTAATTTTTTCTTGTGACTTTGGCAATATGAAATAGCATGTGTTTTTATTAATTAGACAATTAGACAAATATGGGGCCCGTAAAATCAATTATTTATTCTCTATTTCTCTCGCTGTGTAGGATATGTCAATGAATGCTATAGCCTTTATGTAAGCATATAGACAGGCAAAATTTTTTAAGAGGCCATTAAGACAATCCCAACATAGTGACACATCATCAATCATTATATCGATTTTTTAAATGTTTGACATGTTTTAGTTGGGTCTTTAATTGTTAAAGAAAAGGAGTTGAAGTTTAATAATAAATTTAAATATTTTTTGAAATTTGTCTATCAATTCGTTCTTGATAAGAACGCAGTTCACGACTCATTGTTATTCCATCAAATATTAAGAAACTCTGAAAATGTTTGGAGTAACGCTATGTATCTCCCGGATCCATGCATTTTTATTTCAATTTAGAGAATAAACTACAAACCTAGTGATGGAGACAGTAATACACACAATTATAAGATTCTCTTTTATTTTTATTAAAAGTGCATGTACACTTTTGATTTTTATTTTTTTATCTTTACCGCTTATTTATTATTTTTCAATAAAATAAATCAAAGAGTAGCCGGCCGATAATTTTGTTGGCTTTACATAGAGTCCTCGCATTGGGGAAATTGCCATTTTTTGGCGCCCTATCCACTAAAACTTGCTTGTTAATTTATTGCGAGGAGGGCGTCATCATTGATGGTCTTACGTTAGTGGCTATATGTTAAGCGCGCTTGTCTTTATTAAAAGTGCATGTACACTTTTGATTTTTATTTTTACCGCTTATTTATGATTTTTCAATTAAATCAAAAAGAAGCCGGCCGATAATTATATTGGCTTTACATAGTCTTGGCATTGATGACATTGCTGCTTTTGCCGCTCTATCCATTAAAACTTGCTTGTTGATTTATTGCGAGGGTGGCGTCTTCATTGATGGTCTTGCGTTAGTCGCTGCCTGCTAAGGCGCTTGTCATCCCTTATAATGAATGCAGCTATTAAATTTAAATATTAATTTTAATTTATTAAATTTGATTTTTTAAATTTTTATTAAATTTAAAAATCCTTAAAACTCTTTAAAAAAAATATTTATTTTTAAATATAAATTCTGAAAACATGCAGGCTTGCAATTTCCTATACGAAGGCAAAGGGAAAGTTGTTAAAAATTAGGATGTTTATTGTTTTTACGTTCATTTATATTATCTCGTAATTGACATTTATTCTACATATTATTTATTTTTTAATTTAAGTATGAAGAAACCTCTTACTCTTCTAACTTTTATTTGTATTTTATTCCATTTATCTGAATGCATGAATTATGGTTCATTCGAAAAAATAGATAAAGAAATTGCTAAATTGAAAGGAAGAGAAGAATATTTCGAACGTAGTGTCAATATAAATAAGCAAAAATATGAAAAGGCCTGTCAAAGTCTAAAAGAGACTCGAAATAAAATAGAAGGTATATTTTAAGTCCGAGTACTTTTATATTTAGATGGGTGTTAATAACAGGGGATCTGAATTTAATACAAGTCCAATCTTGAATAACATCATTTAAATAAATTTTTTGTTTTGATAGACACTGGGTGAGGTGATAAATTCTGGTGTATCTCCTTTTAATGGTTACACCTGAATTTTAATATAAAAATTTGCAGCTCTTAAAGTGTATTTGAAAATTTTTTAAAAATTATTTTAGTATTTAAAAAAATTTATTTCTTTTAAATTATCAAAAATATTATTGGGTATTAAATAAAATAAAAAGAGATATTTTAAGTGCTTGAAGAACATAAAAGACAAGCAGCTATTGCTTTTGGACATGCTGGCCAAGATCAAGGTTTACAAGGACATGTTAGCCAAATTATTGGAAATACCAGTACTGGAGTGGAACAGTTGAGTGGAAAAATGAAACAGAAAATGAATATTGCAGTTAGAAAAGGCCATGCTCGATATAGGGAAGGTAAATGCTTATCCTTAAAGATCAATCAATCAACCTAAATTTTCAACAATCCTTAAAGCCCTCTTAAATTGCGAATAAAAATATTTTCTGATTGCTTATCAATTATTTAAGAAAAGAATGTCAGTGGAAAGACTTTTGAAGAAAATAAACAACATAATGGATTTGGAAACATGATTTCTTCTAGTGTGCCCCAAATTGCAGGATATCCACTAGGCTTTAATCTAAATGGAGGATATCATCAACAACCATCTTTTCAATTTTCGGCTTCTCATGAAGGACAATTTAATCAAGGAGCATCTCATCATGCAAATTTTGTTAACGGTAATTTAATTTCTTCCGTTTCAAAATTGTCATAACCCTGCTTTAAAAATAAAATCCAGTAATCGAAAGCCTTCGAAATGTGCTACAAGATAGCAATCTATGAAATTCTATGAAAATTAGAATCCATTGATAAAAATTTAGACTTGCCTACTATGCTTTTGGAACTCAAAGAATTCATGTAATATCATATCATTAACAAACTTCTAAACCACTTGGTTATACCTGAACTGAGTCCAATGTAGGCAACATATCTAATAGTTTTCGAGGATTAAGTGAGATATTGTCATATGTGAAAAATTGCATTTTTGCGATATTTAGACTAGCATTTTCAACTATTAGTGCGTCTAAGATTTATAAAGTCAAAAGTAAATCCGTTGGCAAAATGCATAGTTATAAGAAAAAAGGATCGTTACTATAAATTTCGGAGATGGCTCTTGCTAACAGCTAAACTTTTGATAAATCTTAATAGATCAATTTAGATCATTATGTTATACCAGCTGGAATGCAACCGAATCCTGGTTTATTAATTTTTTAATTTTTGCTTAAAATGTTATAAATTTTAAGGAAGCACTCAACTCAATGTTGGGAATATTTCAACTGATGATGAAAAAACTGAATCCGATAAAGAAAGAGATGAATGAAAAGAAAAATATATATAAGTGTACAGAAACGCGAGTTAAAAAGAAGCACTATAGCCTGATATTGGAGAACAATTTTCATTTTTTCATAAATTTATTTAAATTTAGAATACACTTTAGAATCTGTTTTTATTTGATTAAAAATCCTTTGCAAACATTAAATATTATGAATTAAATTATGTAATTAAAACTTTCTCCATGAAAATCGTTTTTTCTTCTTAAACTCCTATTTTGATTTTTCTAAAAATTTTATTTGAGTTAATTTAAATAAACCTTCTTCATGTTTTATGTTATTGGGAAGAAACAATATCTCTCAAAATTAAATTTACTCCCCATCATTCCCTTCTCCACTCGCCCCTGAATTTCGACATTTGCGTGCGTCTCTTAGAGAATCTCATTTTAAATACATGAGCGCGTTACGTAATTAATTATTGACAATGGCGACATTATGAATTATTGACTTGGCGGCATAAATTAAGTTTAAAAAATAAACAAACTAGAAATTTTCTGTAATCTTTTAAAATAATGCCCTATTTCTATCTTATTTTTGTCATATTTTTGCCACATTTTTGAGTGGCTTCTCAATATTTCATTGTTTTGGAAAGGACAACCTGATGGATAGTGTTAAATAATGCTAAAAACCTTAAACAAAACATATAAACTTTAAACTATTTCTTTATTACTATCTCAACTCTTTTATGGAGGATTCTTTTTTTCTAGTAAAAATTTATAAGGATGATGCAATATTCTATCCAATCTATAAAATGATCGCAAGACTCAATGCCCTTTAAGCTTTCGCAATACCTTGAGTTTAATTAAAAGGGCAATGTCCTTATTTTTGTATCCATTTACAAAGAACCAGGCCAAAATAAGTTTACAAGCTACAAATAAAGAAAAATCGAAATTTCGAAAATAGTTAAACTTTATTAATAATTGAAATTTCAAAATAGATTTTGAAATTTACAGTTAGATTTTTTGCTTGAATTTTTTGAGTTTTAGAAATTTTTGAGTTTTAACCAAGCATGTCTGGTGAGTTAGGCAGAAGTAATTGGGCAGTGAGAGATTTGGGAAGGAAACATATTTTAAAAATTTTTTCCATAAAATTAATTTGAATAACAACAGAAAATTTATAGAACTTTTTTAGCCGCGTAGTTCTTTTTACGAATAGCGGTTTTCTCCCGTTTCTGTCAGCACGTTTCAGTACTCACGTTTCAGTCCCGTTTCATTTCCTGAACTAAATTGATTGTTGCCGTTAAACTAAAATACGCAAACAAAGAATATTTTGTTAAACTTTAAACAATTTAGCAATTTAAATAATTTAACACGAAAAAATATAACCTGCCAATTAAAGCCTGTTTCGAAATAAAAATAAAGTTCGAATTTTCGAACTTCAATTAAAGTTCAGATTTATTATAGCAAAATTTGGCTGACAATTTAATAAAACGCACGCAATCTTGTCTTTAAAAGGGCAGTCGTTTATACATATTAATTCATAATTAACAATTTTTATTTTTAACTTTTTAAATTTTCTCTAATAGTAAGACAGAGGAAAAAGTTTAGACTTTCGATCCTTGGATCTCTGGCAATTATATCATTCCGTGTTTTTTGCTTGTAAAAAGCAATCATCTTTTTATGTTACAAAATTTTTTACTCTTTAAAATAAATTCTAATTAGAAATTTCATAGCATGAAAATATCAAAGTTAGCAATTCTTCTATTTTTATTGTTCATATTATTCGAGATGCTGGAATGTGGTGGTAAAGACAAGGATAAAGATGTGAGTGATTCTTCTGAAATAGAAGAGGAAACAGATATTACAGGCCAGAGAGGAAATGGTCGGAGAGTCCGTGGACAGAGCCGTCAAATTCGCACAGGATCAAGTCATCGTTCTATAATCCAAAATCAACACAGAAATCCAAATGATCGTCGCATGGTAATGCTTAGTTACAAACATCAAAAGCAACAAATAAAAAAGTTACGAAATGATTGGGGAAAACTTTGTAAAGTTCAACATAAAATTCACAAAAATCAAAAATATATTAAGAAAAAAATGTTAAAGCTTAATAATAAAACAAAAAAGTGCAAACAAGAAAGTGAAAATATGTTAAAATCACACAAACAGAACATGAAGCATTTGAAAGCAATTTTTGAACGTAATATTATAAAAAAAATTTTTAAAAGAAGCTAACATAAAATAAAGTTCATTTAGGTGTTTTATAGTAAATGAGATTAAAATTTATTCAAAATTTCGATAAAATTTGCGAACCGAGGCTCATTGGGATTGAGGATAAAAGCTTTAATGAAACGTTACATTTGCTAGTAAACTTTAGTAAAACACGGATTTTAGGGGTAATAAAATTTTATACTTAAGAACATATTTGGTCCTAATTAAAGAAGGTCAAGGCATACTTACCAAAATAGGCATAATTACAATAATCGAGATTATTTTTAATATATGTAACTAAAAGTTTAGAAATTAAAACTACAAAAGCTTCAAACCAAACTGATGAGAAACTTACAATGCCAAAACGTGTAAAGGAAGAGACATTGACTATTAGAGACACTCAAGATATCCAAAAGATCAAACCAGAACATGTTGAAGGAAAAGGAAAGGAAATTGCACGTAAGTGTAGGCAAATAATATTTCTTTGTTGCAAAGAACGGATAGGACTTTTTAGCTTAGCAGAAACGTCACATTTTAGGAATTAGGCGAGAGGAGGAAAAACGATCCACATATTTTAAGAATCAAGGCACAATTTTTAATACCCTTAAAATTCAAATTTTTACATTTTTAAATATAATTTACTAAGCATATTGAGTCAAGTTAATTAAAAAAGATAAGTTCATTATATAAAAAACTTTTATTATAAAGCACAAGATTGGAAACACAAGTCAATGTTTGAAGGACTTCCAGCTGCTCAAATGCCTTCATCTAGTCAATTTGCTTCTATGCATCGTCCATATGGATATGATATTCGTCCATGTAACTCTTTATATTTTTCCGTTAAATAAGATGATAAAATGAGAAAAATTACTGCCTATAACTTATGTAATTGTAAAAGTAGCTCAGTTGTTAGAATTTAGATAGTAGAATAAAAAATTTTCTCCTAATCTCTCGTAAACCCCTAGGATTGCTGTTCTAATTTGTTTAATAATTACTTGATTAATTTAGATTTTCATGCTGAATCATCTGGAATGCAGTCGAATCCCGGTTTATTTTTATGACTAATTTTTAGGTATAAAATTTTATAAATTTAAGGAAGTCCCCAAACTAATGTTGGGGATAATATTAAAAAAGAAGAAACTGAATCCCAAGAAGATGTTGACGAATCTGAGTAAATTTGAATTGAAGAAAGAGTCGAAACCCGGTTTATTATACATGATTACAAGTTATTATATAACGAATTACATGATTACAAGTTATTATATAACGATTTTTATTTATTGTTAGATTATTTAAATTTAGAATATAAAGATTTTCAATTTATATTTACTTGATTAAGTAATGAAAATTATTTATGAAATGAATCATTTTGGTTTCAATTTATTTAATGCTCGACTAAAACTTATGTCGAACAAAAAGAAACAATAACCTAAAGATTTTTTAAAAATAACAAAAAATTAAGAGTATATTGCTCAAAAAGTGACTATTCGTTTTGACCCGAGCTATAAATCTATGTGTTTCTTTTTAAAAACTATCATATTTTGAACAATAACTTGTCAATTAAAATTATTTATTCCTCAGACCGACAAATGCCATCGAAGTCCTTCTTTTTTAACGAAATTCGATTTGTAAAAATACAAAATAATAGAAAATCCCTTAACTGTATCTAGTCGAAATCCGTTATAGCAAATTTAACCGAATCTTCAGATAAAGTAAAATTAAAAATATGTCTAAATTTATTCTCTACTTTTAAAAGATATAATACCAAATATTGGTTTTAGGCGAAGGATGTTTTATAGAAATTTTTTTGTTAATTTATGTTATAGAATAATTTTTAATCTTTAGAATTTCCAAAAGTTTTGATTTACTTGTATATATCATCCTTCTTTTAAATCGGTCTCATTCAATGTTTATTGAGGAACATGTTCAAAATCCATAGCTTGAATAATGGTTTTAATTTAATAATAATTTTTTATTAATAAAGATAACAAACTATTAATTAAAATTAATATTGTTAATTTAATTAACGTGTTTTACTCAAAATCAATCATCCAGTTATCCCGCTCCGATTCGAACCTAGCTGACATAACTTATTTCATTATTTTTATTTAAATACCATCATTATGTTCTTCCAGTTGAACATTTAAATCAGGCAATTCAGCTCGATTTTGTTGATGAATGTTGTTATCTAAATTTTTCTAGTTATATTAACTTTGATGTTTCATTTATAAAAATAATATCAATACAAAAATTTAAAAATTAATAGAAGCTTCTTAGATCTATCCACCCTGAAAAACACGGTTATCGACAATTTTCGAGCTATCAATCATGATCAATCCTCTGTTTACACATAAGTTTTTATTGGACTTTTTACTTAGGTTCGAGAGGTTCGGGAGACATCTTTAATTTAATGTTGGGCCGATTTTCTGACCCAAATTATTTTAAGATTTAGAAATACGTTGATTTTCATTTTGTGGAACTTAATTAATATTTTAATAGCGGTGGAAGGCATTCAAAGTTTCTTGAGAAACCTAACTTCCAAATTGAGAAACCCATCTTAAACCGGCTTCTAAATCTTATTTCTTTATGTATTTAAAGCCATCTTGTTTACCTTCTGGTGGAGCATGTAAATCAGGAAATTGATTAACGTTTTGATGGCGACGGTAGTTATTGATCTCCTCCTGCGTGATTGGTCCAACATGGGGCGCTTCATATGGTTGCCAATCCTGATGATAAGCCCTTAACGCCGGATTTCCATGTTGAATTCTCATATTATCGAGAAATTTTCCTCCTGGTTTCCCACTAAAGCTTGCTTGCCCTTCTATTTTTCCAACAGGAGTTCCTTTTACACGCATCTTTCCTCCAGGATGTTTCTCATTAAAATTAGCTTTATCAGGCAATTTTCCGCCAGGATTTCCCTCCATACATGCGATTACACATAGTTGAGCGAAAAAATAAAAAGAAAAAATTGCCAGAATTGAAAAATTCATTTTTAAAGTGTCTAAAAAGACCAATGAATAAAAACCTTCCTCCCTCAGTTTGGAACATAGTGCAAAATCCGCCTATTCGCGCCACTAAGTCTTTTTTTCAGCGGCCCGAACTGAGAGGGCCAAACTGCTTGTTTTAGTGTTGAAAATTTTATATTTGTCTTTAATTTATATCAATGATATTTTTAAAAATTTCATATGATATGCCATTCTGTTTGGAGGTTTTTTATTAGAGATAATGGTGGGAAACAGTAAACGGGAAACAGTTTTGACCTAAAATTTAAAATGAATATAATGCATTAATAGAATATGACAGCCTTTTTAAAGACATATTGCTTGAGCTTTTAATAAATTGCGAACCAAACTTGCGAGCTAATATAAGACAAGAAAGCATTTTGCGATCCACGAAATAGCGAGTCAAGCTTTGTCTTATATAAGCTTATTCTAAGTGCAAAAATAAATAAGAAATAATGTCCTTGCCCTTTAATAAAAATGCAAGGCAATTTTAAAGATTGGCTGGCAAAGAAGAAATTTCATGGCTCGGATAAGATTTTGATTTATAAGATTTTATATAGAAAAATACAATTCTCTAAAAAATAGTCGAGCTTGCTTAAGAATGAGAATAATTTATAATGTTTTGGGTAAGTTTGCTCCTACATATAAAATAAAATAATTCTGTAATGGAGCTAAACAACTATGAGCCTTATAGAAAATGAAAGTATGTATTAGAGATTATAGGAACAATTGCGTTCTATTAATTAACATAGAGATTTTTTTGTCATTTATTCTATTCAAATGTTTAAAAATGCACTACATATATTTAAGATGCATAGGTGATGGGAAGCTTACTGAGGGGACGCTTAAAAGCTCATGGGACGCTTAAGAGCTCATGGGACGCAAAACATAAAGTTGCGCCAAAATTATTTTAGTTTTCCCCAATATATGAATTACATAATTCTTGTATTGAAAAACGCACGCGGCTATTTTTATTTTTAAAACTTTAAAAAATTCTTTGCAAATTTTTTTAAATATATTTTTTTATTTAAAAAAAATGTGCAGCAAATCGGAAGTGTAAGTGTCGGAATGTCGATAGGAATGTTTCAAAATCTTGGCTCCAGCTCAGTCTCCGCCCTTTTTAAACTTAATCAGAAGCAGCATTCAAATAAATTTAGTTTCTTCAAAATAGAATTCATTAATGATCACGCTTTGAGATGAAAAATATGCGACATTTTCAATGATTGTCATTTCCAATATTTCCTATATCCGTTTTGCAAAATTTAGCATTGATTTCCGGATCCCAGTTTTGATTTGCTTATGACTTCCGCTATTTCCGACGTGTTCGAATTTTTGACACTTTCGCAATTACAACCGCTCTCTACAATAGGGAAATTTATTTGCCAGTGCGTGAGACAGAGAGAAGACAGGGGGAGAGAGAGATTTATCCTTCTCTTTTGTAAAGAGAAAGAGAAAGAAAGTCACTCGAATTAATTATTGAATTAATTGATTGTTAGTAGCTAGTGACACATACATGTTTTTATTAATTAGATGTTTTATTAATATGTTGAGTTTAATAATGTTTGACCTCAGTTGTAGGTAAAGAGAAATCTCATGCTAAATACGATTAAAAATTTACTGTTTGTCTTATCTCAATTGCAACACAACTTTGAAGTCTTTGCGGCTATGTTTTTCTGCAAATGAATTTTAATGCTAGAAAACATTTAAGAATTATAAAAGACACTTGCCGATTAAAAAAATTTAAAATAAATTTCTAAAAATAAATTTCCTTGAAAATTCTATTATTCTATTTAAGAAGGCTTAAGGGAGTTTATTAAGGGAGTTTCTCTTAATTTTGTTTTCCTCTTAAAATCTCGTTCTATCCTCTTTAAAAAATCTCCTTCTATCTTCTTTACCCATTATCCTTTCTGTCGCTAAACGCGCGCGATTTATGGCAACGTCTCATTAGTATTGAAATGGAAGTGAATATATACGCGGGCTTGTTTGCGACGAGTGATTCATAAGAGAGGCTGTAAATGGCTTCATACAAGCACTTCATCCTTCATTTTCCATCATTACATCCCTTCTATGTATATGTATTTTCCTTTATAAATCTTCGAGAGTAAAACTCTAGACAAAAGACACTTAATGTTTAAATAAGCTTCTTTTAAATAAATTAATAAAACATATAAAAAATTAAATGTTTATAGATAAAGCAAGTATTGTAGAACCATTTTTTTGTTTGCCATAAAGTATCATATTGAAATTTAATTCACAACAAGACATTATTTTCCTCTCAAGAGGAATTTCCTAAAATAAATTTTATTATTAAAAAATCTTTTTGTAAATCTCCATATCCAAAAATCATTTTATTTAAAAAGCTCTAAAAAATTTTTTAAAGGATGAACTTGTTTAATTTTGTTATTCTGTTTTTCCTTATTTTAAATTTATTTAATTTAACGTTTTGCGTTAAACGTAAAGGTAATGGAGGTAAAAATTTAAATTCTATTTAAATATTTGAATTAACTTATGGAAATTTTAATTAAGGACCATCAAATCCTCAA